CTGCTGGCTGCAGAATGGGCAATTATTTATGAACACTGAGATGCATCAGTTCTGTAGATGGTATGAAACATGATTTTACATCTAGTAAAGGATGTGTTCCTGAGTTTGAGGGTTTTCTTGGGACACTTTTGAAAACCACAGGTTCCGCCTGGGCTCAATGGAGACTGAATTAGAGGTTTAGACCAATCCCATCGAGCCACTGTGATTCACTCTGGCTCGTAGTAGTGAGTGAATAAATGTCAGCCAGATTATAAAGTCAATGATATGTAGAAATACTCTTTTTTTTTTGGCACAAGATGAGTACACTTCTGCTGACAAAGTTCTGAGTGTGAAGTTTGTCAAGCTGAGTTATGAAGCTGAAGTGATTTTGAGCTTTGTTCCAACAGCGGTCTATCAGTTATGATGAATGACTGGTCAGCATTTGCTTCCCCTCATTCATGAGACACTAGAAGCACAATGTCGCTCATCAACTGGACTGGTCATCCTGACTTCAGGGTTTCAGCTAGAGCGAGAAAAACATAAGAAAGTGAAATTCACAAAAGCAATCGAGGAAAATAGAGCAAAAAAAAAATAAATTGGTTGCAAAGTAGAGAGGTGAAGATCAGAATCATCGAAATGTGAGAGACGGGAAACAGATGAAGGAGAGTAAAAAGGCAGAGTGAAGGCGAAGGCAACAAGGAGCAGTTATTCACAGATAAGTGAGCAGACACATGGCCTCAGTCTGCAGGGCATTGGAAGGAAGCCAAGGGGACTGTCTCGTCACGAGATGGTGCTGCGTGTTATGGCCTAAGTGGGACAGCCAGGACGCCCAGCAGCAAAAAGCCCCTGATCATCTTTGTGCAGATTATATCTCTTGTCCAGACGGCTGAAATGTTTAGATGACAAGAGGAACCGCCCAGACTTTTTTCAGTACGTCAGAGTTTACACACAGGATCTCCAGTAGCCCTATGCAGTGTCACTTTTATTTGTTTAGCCTCTATGTATTTGGGTTAGCTCATCCAGAACCACTTTCAGCAGTATTTTAGATTTTATAATGTACACACTTTTAGTTTTAGTCAACCAAGAATTGCAGGTTTTGAAATGTGTTCAGTGGTCTGTAAGATGTAAAATTATTCAGTTTATTTCTCAGAAAACCAGTGTTGTGCTTTTGTTTAACAGTTTAAAACATTTCTATGTGTACAGGAAGTTCAGAGATCAGGATTATGTTAACAGTTATTCTTCAGATAGTAGAAAGGTATTCAGCGGTTTCCTCAAGGATACTTCATCTGGGTCGATAACTGCTGTGAAATGGCTTGACATCGGGGTCACATATTGAAGGACTTAGGGATAATCCAGCTGCTTGACACTCACTACCTAGGCCACGTGGTTAATTAGCATGTTCAAATACATGATTCCAGGTTCAATGTTAACTGTATTTCTACGCTAGCAGCATGGTTCTCGAAATTCCATCGTTGATCTTTTGGCCAGTCCATCACTGTGTGTCCAGACTGAAATATCTCAACAACTACTAAATGGGTTTCTGTGAACATTTGTACAGGCTTTCATGGTCCACAGATGATAATTCATGTTGTCTTTGGTATTCCTCTCCCTTCTCCTCTAGTGCCACCACGCGCTTCACATTTTTGGTTTTAAACAAATGGCTTTTGGTTGGATTGTCATGGGGTTTGGTGCAGACATTAGTGTTTCACTCTTGATGAATTATAACTTTGGAGATCCCTTAACTAAAAAAAATTTAACATAAAATCAGATATCAGCCTGTCCAGGCTGTACCCCGCCTTTCGCCCCATTGCCGGCTGGGTTTGGCTCCAGGGTGTAACAGGGTGACAAACATCTAAATATTACAATTTATCAAATTGTCCAATGCGAAAAATGGATTCAGCCCACCAGGATATTATTCATGGTACTTATCTATCTTTTAAATTGTATTAATTGGAAGCACTCCTAATTACTTAGTACTATTAGTGATGATATGAAAAGAACCAGGCAACCATTTATAGCTGTAGTTTTTGTTTGACAGTCTGTGCTGCATCTGGCTTTTCTACAGCTCAAAACTATCTAATTTGGGCCATAACTGCTGACATGAATTTTTTTCAAATGCACACTAATTCTTCCTCAGTCCTACAATTTATTGGTCTCTCTGCTGCCATGTCACTCGTTTCATTGGTCAGCTCAGCTGTCGTCCTGCTGGAGGAAGTGTGGTACAGGTAGCTGTTCCTGACGTGATGCTGGTGTGTACTGTCATGAGCCCACCACAACAACAGCCTGCAGGTCTGAGTCACTTCATCATACATGAGTTACACAGGCATTAGGGGGAGTGTAATACTCAGTTGTTTGTGTAAGATTACAGATGGCTCTGGAGATCACCTTCTAGGGTCAGGGTTTGTGTGTGAGTGTGTGTGGGCATATCACATTTGTTTTGATAGGTTTTTGTTTTTCCTACGTGTGTGTGTGTGTCTGTATTTTTGTGCCCACCATTTGTGTGTGATTGATTCATGCCATTACAGGCTGTGAGCCAGTAAATCGACTTCCCTAGGACCATCAAATGGACTGTAGTGCCTGTTTGTACACACAGCCTCTGAGGATAAATCTTGATGAAGCACTTTCTGCCTAACTACTGTCAACACATCACTCATACTGTCTCCGTGTCCTGCTCACATACTCCTCAGTCTTATTTCTGAGCTGTCACTGGTGAGTGTGGGACCTTTAAACATTCAAGTCCATCCTCCTGCCACCCTGATATTGATCTCCAATAATGGAATAGTGAGTGGAGTTTGATAGAAAATAGGGTGCTTAATGAAATCCTTTAGGCGTTTCCATTTGCAGTACAAATGGACACATGGGTTGCAGCAACTTTAATGTTAAATGAGTGATTAAAGCTTTAAGTACCACATAGGTTATTTATTTTGCCTGTTAATATAAAACATAATAGTAATTAGCTGAGTGAGATTTTATTCTTGGAACACCTTTCTCAGTGGTTAAACACTTTGAGGACAGTGAGATAAATATTAAAGTGACTCTTGACCATTAACTCTCACTCTTCTTGCCTTTTAAATTGGCAAGGTTATAAGACAACCCCTCTACTTTTTGAAAATATTGAACACTTTTGAAAGCTTCAGGGACTAAATAACTTCAGGAAATTATGGCTGCACGGAGACTTTGGAGCAACATATTTGGGTTTTGGGGTTTTGCAATGAAAAAGCACATCACCCAGTGCAGCGATGTGTTTCCCTGATGGATGACCAGCCTTTTACTTTAATACTCCAGCCAACCCATAATGCAGCCTTCTCTGTAGGAGAACACCAGTACTTTCATCACTCCAGTAGAATATCTGAGGTTGTGAATACCTAAATGTATAGTCTCCAATGTCTTATGTCCTTCACTTTTTCAGAAATATATTGTCTCATATTTGGGCCAGTATGGTTCTATAAAGGCCACATTATGCTTAAATTGCAATAGTTTGCAAAATATTTGCTCCAATTATGTTTTAAGGTGTGTATTTGTTCCAAATAGCCACTATTGAAGAGAGAGTGAAAAACTCATTTCTCTTAAATTCTTCAATTTGGAGACTTTTGTATGTATTTTTTTAAGTTGTTGAATTTTACAAACAGTGCATACTTTCAAGCATTCTCTCCTCAAATGCTGCACTCAGTTGCCCACACAAAAAGTGGAAGAAGTAGAGATTTAAACTCTTCCTGTTTTCGCACCTCCTCACATCCGTTCAATTTCTCACTCAGTGTGACTCCTCAGCATGGCTCCCTGAGCCAAATGAGTGTCATCACTCCGGAGCCACAGGATGTGTGTGTGTGTGTGTTTGTGCCATATATTCTCTTTTTTATCACAGTACAATACATACACCATGCCAAAATCAGTATATATTGGTGAGCAGTGTTTACATGTGAATCCATATTACTGTATTTGTTAACAGGTGTGTCATCAAATTATCTTTAAATCATTATGCTTTTATTTAGCATATCCCTGTGGAGCATTCACAGACCCTTTTGTTTGTTTGAATAGAGTGGGGCTTATCTAACAAATGTGGGGCTGTGATATTGCCTTGTTTGTGGCAGATTCCCCTGAGATGTTGCTATAAAGAGACAGAGAAGCTAAAGCGAGACCTTCCACTTACTATGCATTCCATCCTCCCTAGTCTCTGCTTTCACTCTTCTTCCATCCATATGTGATGACCCCCAGAATACACTCAACTGTACTGTCAGTGCTTTCTCTATGCTGTAAGGAGTCTATTATTAAAATGGCTTCACATCTTCCATAGGGAGGTTATGAATCACTGGCAAGAGGCAGATGAATGTGCTGTAATTGCTGCTGCATCTCAGACTTCTAGAACAATTATACAGCATCCAGCTGCTGATAAAACTTATATTT